ATAACCATAATCCTATACATCAACGACGTAATACCGAAATCTACTTAGAATTTCAAATTTTACATCAGAAACGGAAAGGTTAAACTCATCATTTGAAAAACCAAATATTCCAATACTAATTTTGGTATGTTCAGACACATTTTCGACATCCTACGTAAATAGTCTTGGATTGGGACACCTGGTTCATTAAAACAATATTCATTTCATTTCTCAACACTACCATTTCGATCGAAGCGATGGTATCTTCAATACGGTATCAATAAATTTCATACTATTGGAAAATCGTACACCACAGAAGGGAAAATGGCAAGTTACAGATACATATTCATTAGAATCTTAATAGGAAGGCAAATATAGACAATCTTAATGCCTGGGAAACAAATACAAATGGTCTAGAGGATAAAGGAACCGTTACGACAGAAGCCAAAGATTTAAATGAGACGAAAGATACGTTTGTGAATTACAAAACGGACACATTCACTGACACAATACAGTGCACATGTACGCAGTAAATACGCTAGATTAGAATATTGTAATGAAGCCTGGGAATGAGAACTATAAAACAAAAGAGCACTAAGAAGCGTGGCTAACAAATAAATCTTCATCAAGAACATAAATTAAAATGAAAAATATATTTAACGCAACATTATCACCGATGAAAAAGTTTACTGCGATTTGTAATAGCAATTTATTTATAGATAAGACATTCGTTTTCTTTTTTAAGCACTGACCTTGTTAGTCGAAAAAAGTAATAAAAAGCGCAATCGGTATTGATTTGTACAATACAAATACTTTCTCTATGATTGAAGAAGTAGTAATACTAGTTTATCTAAAATAAACGTCCTGTATTTCAAAGTCATCTTAGCATATCTCTCTACTTACAATTTTTCAGTTACTTTCAATAGATCATTGGAATTCAATTATGGATTGCTATACTAGATTACATGAAAGTTAGAATACATATAAGCTTGGACAATCAGTTTTCGAAATTTATCTTTCCAATTATAAGTCCCTTTGCTTCTTGGGCCAATCAGGTATCTGTTTCAGAAGCATTATCACTTCGAAACGAGGGCGCCAGCCCCGTACCGTTATGGCAAGAACTTGAAGGAGAAACACACGGATACGTATTGCCGGCGTTAACGGTTAGACTTTACTAAGAAACTAGTAATGAGCTAATGAGTGCTTCCGTATTTAATATTGATGAACTAAATAGTGGAAGGTAAAGGGTATAAGCGATTCTTTAATCAAAGCAAATCAAGACTTCAGACTGTTTTAACATAGTTTACCGTTGTTTTTTTTTTAATATAAGAAGTAGTCAAGGTTCATTCGTCATTACCAGTCAAGTCACTCAGGTCATAAGCGAAATAATGCTTAGCTTGGTGCGAGAATTCGAAAAATCTACAATAGAGCATACAAGCGAAAATTGCAGCATTAAATTCTTCTAAAACATTTCACCTTTAGTATTTACTTGCACAAATCAAATAATCATACAAAACTTTAGAGACCGTGTCAAAATAAATCTAGCAACTATGAATCAAATATTCGATACAATATATTTCCTTGAAAGGAACCAAGTAGCAATCTCTAAGCACACAAAAGCAACAGGTCACTAATACCGCAACCTTATTACCTTTGAATTTATCGTTAACGCGCATAAATTTGGTTTGTATATTTCGAAAGTCGAGAGTTTGAAAAGCCCGTACCGCCATTGTAAAGACCTTATTAGCTCTAAAGGTTCATGTTCCTGTGAAAGATTTACTTAATGCGATTTCGGAGTAGCGTGCAGAAGTACGTGTGGTCTACTGCTATTTGGTATTCAATGAGGCTGATTTAGAAGGCGAACGAAATTAAGAGCTGGTGATAATGTGCCGGTACTAAGAGTGTAGTGTCGGCTATTGTCTTAAGAATTGGAATTGCTTAAGCGAGTGCGAAGTTCGCTGTGAAATTTAGATAAGCACGAACTTCTTATGTAGAAACATAATCATCAGGCAAGGTTTTTTTAAACGAAATTTTAATAAAGATACGGTCACTTTGGAGTATTCTAGTTTCTCCTGCACAAAACAAAATCAAACGTCCACAGCATGTAAGCTATGTACTTATACCATGCTATAATAAGTATCAGAAAACATACATATACCAAAAAGAGCTGATTTTTAAATAGTCTCGGATAAATGTTATCTGAGGAATAAAATTGTTGCTGTCACTGTCTTATACAAACATTCTGACCATTGAAAAATAAGCCCTAACAGGAAAACATAATGAAGAAAATGATCCTGTGTTTAACCATTGACTAAATTCAGGTCTATGCTTAATCTGAACAATTTTGGAATTTAAATAGTAAAGTACCTCATTCATACAAATCAAACTGACAAAGTATAGACTACTATCGTCATCTCATAGAAATTTTCAACAACCATGACATCATATTACACCCAACTCAATACAAATAGTTAAAATCTTTCAATCGTTCATTCGCCTCACGTTTTATAATGATGTTGATTACATCAAAATTAAGCGAACCCATATCACGAACCATGTATGTTCGTATGTTGTAAAGTTCCGTGAACTTTGACCCAAGACTTAGTAGTATTCTTTGGGAATTTGTTCAAAGTAACGGAACCCGTTCATTAATAGTATTGTGATGGGAACGTTTAATTGTATACTATCGTGAATATCGTGATGTTTTAGGAAAACTATTCGTCGTGCGTGTGTGATGTTATGTAAATACTCTATGGAAATATTTTTTTACGCAAGTAATAAGTCTCAAATTATCTTCAAAAAAAGCTTTACTATTGTTACGTGCCTGACTATGCGGGCTTGGGTTACGGGATTGGATGAAATGAAACACTAATACCGGTTTTCAGACTTTCTATTGCACTTAAGTTACAGCGTCCACGGAGTTAAGTTATCGGCGTTCCTCTCCAGCAGAGTCCGGCCGACTGACACAACTTTGCCGTTCACGCTGACTTAACTCACTTAACTGACTGCACTGCACTATTTCACTGCACTTCACTATTTCACTCACTTTTCTTCTTTCTCACTTCTTTCTTTTCTTCCGAATCGCTTTAGACTTAGAACTCAACTGCCAGCGGTGAGCCGCAGTTCTGCTTATATACCCCCGGTCAGGTTCTGGAACATTCAATTTCGTTATTCTTTTTGATCGTCATGCCTCCAGAACCTTCCAATAATTTCGCTATTCATTTTTATTTATTCTCCTTCTCACTCTTTAATTTTTCATCTCTTTCACACAAATAATTCCAGAAAGTTCGACAAAACTTCCATCAACTAAAAAACTTCATGTTTACGGCGGGACTCGAACTCGGGGTCTCTGTGGTGTAATCCACACGCCTTACCAATTACACCAACTCGTATTGACAATTCACGACGAAATTTACAATCTCTAGGCAACGTTTGACAACCATCCATTGACGTCATGATGTCAAAGAGTTTGAACCACTTTTCCGTCACACTATCAATATTGCTACGAAATCCAAACTGTGACTTTTAAACAGAAAATATAATGAATGTAATTTCAATAATGTAGATAACAATAAAAAGCGAATGTCAGCAAAATATGTTAAAACGAAACATCATGAATACGATAAAAATGAAGCAACAAATAACATTGAAATCACATATCACGTTAATGAACTTGACACGTTATAATTACGAAAGGCAAAACATGTTCCCACACTCGCAAAACTGCAACTAAACGAAACAGTAGACGATACAAGTAAACATAGGTATACACACGATGAAACAAATTCTTCCGCCATGACTAAGATTACATTAAAATTGGAGTCATTTAAGTATTCCGTAATATGTATATTGACGCTTACTTATTCAGTGGACGTAAGTAAACTGGCGTAACCAATTTATACCGTACACATAGTACAAGTTGAACATAGTGTATTGTTAGCTAGCCTGCAGGCAGAATTTGTAACACCTCGCACAAAATACGTGGTTGAAAGAAAATAGCAACGGAGTATAGGCTCGTTTAAAATGCAAACAAGGATTCTATTGGAAGGGGTGAAGGTTTAGAAGAAACAGATAGTATCGATGGAGAAATATTCACAATTTAGATAATAGGTGATGAAATAATTGTCCTTGTAAATGAATACATATTTGAATAGGAATGACTTTTTGGGGCGTAATGTAAATTTATTGTATAGTTGCAAGTCAGATTTGTTACACCGAATCTTTTATGTAAATAAAATCGATGTTTATTCTAACAATAGCATTGTCAAATCAAGAGCAACTTGTAATATCAGACGTTCTAGTAAAACACGAAATTTATTAAAATATACAATAGCTCGAGGAGAATTTAGATACGTAAATTGAACAGCTTCGACAATAAGTTTATTCAACTTCAAAACACAATACAATACCAGTTCGAAGTGTCCACTAAGAAAGCATTACCACAGAGAATTGAAATGTTAGCAAACTGCGAGCATTACTCAAAATACAGCTCACGGTACGGTAGCACCTAAAATAAGTTGTCTTATCTGTGTTAAATCTGAGATTGGTGGAAGTTTAACGATTATTACTTTACTTTACATGAGCAACCTGTTATATTAAAGTTCAGAGCGTTCCAACGACTTTAGTTACTCAATCTCATCGAAAAGCGGTTCACATTGTAGAAGTGTTCACTATGGACACGACAGATTTACGACAAGAACAGCTCGCAATTTCACGATTGACGTGAGTTAGGAACCCATACACACCACATATCACGTCGTGGGCTGCGAACCTGTTGCCTCCACGAATGTGGGGCGACGCTAAATCATCTGAGCAGTTCACTGTCTTGTCAAAATAAATTGTATGACTTCATTTTGTCACGAAAGAAGCGTGGGTCGCAGTCCAATTCCTCATGCCACACCCTTAAATCCAACAACAGGGGCATTTATCCATATAGATTGACGATTAACCGGCAGAATCGGTCCATTATGTGCTTATGGTACAAACGTGTTTCTTTACATACATTTGCATTCTGGACTCACCTAAAAGTCGTTCGACGTTCGACCTCATAATCGCTCCGCCATCTTTGAATCTGTGAACAATAAATGAATGGTTTGTTAAGAATTATGTCTTGTCTTATACTGTGAGGTTGAATAATGAGTTCGTCATTGTTTTATGAATATGTATCAGAGGGTTATTCAACAGATATCTTTACATGCTGATAATAAATTCAGACTTGCGTGTCACAACATAAATGGAAAATTAAGTCCCTGTTGTATCAGACAACTTCCAGGTGCAGGAACCAATAGGTGTAACAACGACACAGGATAAACGAACGTCCCACGAAACTCTTCACACAGACTATAACATGGCAGTAACAAAGAATTAACCATAAACCCCCTATTTACGCTGCAGTCAGTTGTCCCATAAAAGGAGCGTAAATTAGTAGGAGTAAACGCGGTATTTGCAAGACTAAATAATATAAATCAATCTTCCTTCCATTCCATAATTGGACCAGTTTTTGTCACGATTTCATAAGTCGCCTTGGCAGTATAATTCTGTTTATACTACAGCGGCATAGATTTAACGTAATCACCACCGTCTTTAAACACTTTTGCTACTTTTTCTGAGACATTGAGTAACGACAGTTCCCAAGAAATACATTCAGAATATAAGGATGTCTCTTTCATTTGCCGATCACGTCTTCAATGTCCGCGTGAGTTACTTTTTACATTTTCAAAGGGTAGTAAAGACGATTTCTATTCAATTTTCAGTCTTAAGTTACAGTTATAGAGTTCCGATTTGCATTGAAAGGCATTTTAAATATAAAGTGCCGGTGCATTTATGTCAGTTAGAATACATCTATCGGTTGATCAAAGGACTAGTCTGCTAACATTAATATTATTTAAAAGGTGGTGAATACAACTCTTTCTTAATTTTAATATTACGGTTTTATTATATATATTATTTTTGACCTTAGTTTTATTTTTGGTCGGCAAAAGAGCAGACTGAATACATGATGGTAAGAATCAGCATTGTCCATGGACACTCTTAATACCAAAGAAGTTAAGTCAAGAGTATTGCCGGCCTTTAGTGATTTATTAGGGATTTACGGATAGGAGATTTGAGTATTCAAGAAACGGGGTCCTCCAATATTCTCACTTACGCGGCAAAACACAACGTATTTGTTGGTTCACAAAGCACTAAATATAAAACTGTTTAAAAAAAGTTATACCACTGGCTAAATGAGTAAAATTTTTATAGTGTTAAGGAGTTCCTGGAATTTAAAGTTTAAAGATCCTGAACAAGTAGAATTGAATATTTGCATGCTATTTACGATGTAGCTAAAACATGATTGTACTTATTGTTATTTCTTGTAACACCTTTATACCATATTATATTATATTATATTATATTATTATCTTATTATTTTATATATTATATTATTATATTATATATTATATTCACGCCGGTTCTAAGTGAGGCCGTGGTACCACTTCGTTCGAGCCGTAAATTAGGTAACTTTTACCAATTAGGTGAATAAAAATATCAATCAGTTGTAATAAAGTTTAAAACTTATGTCCACAGTTTCCATATACATATTTTAGAAGCTAGTGAATCTTCGCTCAATAAATATATTGGAATGAGGATCGCGATAGTACACGAGTAACTGCACTGACCTGTGGCTTGAGCATCGTACAGATTTACTGCTTATACTTGCCCTAGATTTGAACGACTACGTTTAATATTCTTAGTGGTGTATTATATTAGAAAATGGCAAACGGTTTTCCGCTTTTATAGTTTAATAACTAATACCTTTATGTATGTAGACGATTTTATTGTGTTTTTTCCCGATATCTCCTTCATCTATAGAACCGATTTTAATACTTCTTTTTTTGTTGGAAAGGAGATAGTCTCAGGCTGGTCCCATGATAAGGAAATCAGGGTCTGATGATGGAAGACTAGAGAAATCGAGGGGAGCTTTCAAAAATTATAGGGGCGAGTAATGCTTTTGCATGTGGTTTTAGAAGGATTTATACAACGCTACAACTTGCCGATGTTCGAATTCGAACTGATGATGAAGCCGGAAGACAGTCGACGGATCTCCTTGAGTATTTGGAGTAATTGCCTTGTGTTTGGGCTCGAATGATTTGTATTGGTGAGGACTTTACACCATGATTGGTCGTGACTGTCATTAAGGGTCTGATGATGAGAACGAATGTAGGCTCAGGGTCAACTCCTGAACGGTTTACAGTAACTACCTCGTGTTTGGACTTAACTCATTTATATCGATGACCACTTTGCACCTATATGGATTACAATGGATTTGTGCAGTAAATCGTGATGATGGAGCCGGAAGACCGTCGTGGGATTTCTTTGACTAAGTATTTGGAATAATTATGTTGTGTTTGGACTTATTTCGTTTATATTGATGAGAACTTTGCACTTATAGGGATTATGTATAATGAAAGTCTGCAGTTTACCTGATGATGGAGGTCATTGACATTCGAGGGAATTCCTCAACGATTTACAGCACTGAAAGCTGAGTAACTCAGGACTATCATTACTGTGATTTTCGGTCTCAAGTAGCCGTCGTTCTCTTTCGAGAAGCAGTTTCTTCTTGTTTTCTCTGCCTATCACTTAAAATGGTAGTGTAAGACTCTTACTGACTACAAACCAACCCTTCCCTTCTGATCCAGGCCGATGCATATTGATGCGCTTGCACCTGCACAACCGCACAGACCTTTGAGATACTATAGAAAGTATTGAAGCAAATTGAAGTTTGAAATTCAGTTCTACAAACTGCAGAAAAATATCACAAAGGTCACTCAAAACACAAGATATCTTCAATTTACTCGCGCCATAAACGTGTGCATATAATTGCATATTGCAGTACAACCACATAATGGTAATCTCGTGTGCTCGTAATAGCAATTACGTGACTCGAAACCATTGTCAACAATTATACTGCGACCGACGGATTTAGGGAATAATTTTACCGAAATTATACACCGTGTTTCATACTTTACGATGTTTTTGGGATCGTCGCGTCGTAAAGTCAAAATTCTTAAGAACTCACATAATTCTCTGTTGTTATTATTTCGAATTACTTATGTTTCAAAACTTACTTTCAAAACTATGAGTGTTGAAATTAGGCATTACTCGAGGCACTTAATTCAAATTCAATTTATTTCAACCTATTAAGAGTGATAATAACGTTGCATTGTGCAATCATAAACAATTAACAAGACAGAGTAATAAAATCAGAAATCCATTTAAAATCAATGTGAAATACGAATTAAAATGACCAATTGTCTTATATTTAATTTAATTTACGTCGTACATAGTAAATTTAAATTAATATGGTTATGTTTATAATCTGCTTTTGAATCATTTTTTTTTGTTATTTTAATAACTTACTAAGGCCTATTTTTCAATGGTTAGATAAAAGTTACCAGGGGAATAATTATGATGCTGTCGCGTCAGAATATTTGTATAAGACAATGAGCAACATTTTTATTCCTCAGATAACATTTATCTGACTATTGAAAAATCAGCCCTAAGTAACTGGATATTTAGCATTTTTTTCAATAAATCAACTGCTTTTTTTTGCTATATCTGTACTTATTGCAAATGCAGTGTATGCTTTAAATACAATTATATAGACAAGAACCAAAATAGAAAATTAGACACAACGATTTTTTTTATCTTGTACCAGAACTCATAATATTTTTTGTGCTTAGTGACGCCTATATATACGACTGGGGTACCAAATCATATAGGAATAACAGCCATCTTTACCTACCTACTCGTACCTCGGTGCTTACGACAACAAAATCTTTACCACCAAGATTGTCAGCATTCTTTCCACAATTATCTCACAGCGATTATACTTGTACTGAAAGTCATAAATATTAGTGCACGTTTACTTAATTCCGTAACTAACCTTAATAAAACTAAGTCCAGGAAGAAATTAGAGTTAGCGTTGATGAATGTTTGACGTGACGTCGGTTCGTGATGCAGTTGTTTCCATAACTGTACCTATCAGTGACTGTTCAACTGTTGCAGGGTTAAATGCAACTGCAGTAAGAAGAAAGTTCTGGTATGGTTCATAGAATTCAAGAAGACAAGAGGTTCTAGGATTTGTTTTTGTATCGTGTTTGTAGTTAGGTTGTATGGGAAAATCATCAAATGACTTGTCTCACCTGAGTGGGGTAAGAGGGAAAGTTGGATTCTTACTGTAAAAACCACTACGTTCCTTCTCCTGTTCCAGGCCGCGGTAAGATAGTACAAATTAATCATCAACCATTATACCCGGCATCGGCCAGCATCAGCATTGTACCTACCCGGGGACCCCGGTTACAAGGCTGACACTAAAAATTAAATGTGTCAACTCTTTAATGGATATTATTATACACAAAAACATACCTCTTCAATCTCTTTATCTATTAAGAAAAACTGTATCAAAAGCCCTTGTGTAGTTTTAAAAATAAGGACAGAGAAAGCAACTTTGTTTTATACTATGTACGCAAATACGCATTACCTTTTCTGTAATTAAGTCACTGATTAACAGAACACAGTGAAGACGATTAATGGCAAAATTTGGCATAAAAAGTATTAAAAAAAACTACAATAGAAGTCGAAAACACTACGAGATGGGTAAAGGAACTTTGGTATTCGAAAAATAATTTTCTACATCACTAATTCGTGTCCCGTTGTAGCTGATGAATCGATTAAGAGCCTGACTAACCTCTTACGGATTCCGAAGGCTGATCAAGCGAAAATTAATTAGTGATGTTACGAGTGATAGAACTTATCGTGTCATTCAACTAAACGGTTTTGTTACGACACAAAATTATTAAAGTATTTATCTTCTATTAAAAAACTCTTGAATTTATTTCCAAGTGATTGCCCGTTTTAAAAAGGTATATTTTACAGTAAGTATACAATGCTTGGTTTTCGAATGTTTGTTGATTAAGACGATTTTTTAATATCAACGAGCTCTTTTGAAGTATTGTTTTTTGCTCGTCATTCTTCGCACAAATCTACATTTTGGAACGAGCATTAGAATTAGGTACAAGCACCAAGCTT